AGACATTCAATAAGTCTCAGAACTGTTCTCTAATATATCATGATCTAGAGACATACCATTAGTTAGTCATGGGACTTCACAAATGCGATTTAAATTACAATAATACTAAATATAATGCACTTCAATTACAATTTATTCGGTGCTACTACTGTAGCTAACACTAAAGTCAAATATGATACTCCTGGAATTATTCATACCTACATGAAGGTTATAATGTTCAGGTTTTTAATTCATTTTGAAAGGTGTTAATTTAACTGTATGGTTATGCTGGTGGCTGTATGATTCTGTAAAATTATATTAAGTTGTACACATTTCCGATTAATAATACAACATAATAATGAGGGTGGACTACATTTATTTATTTTTTACAATTGTATGTTTCAAAAACATTTTCACACAATGGGCCTTATGTACACTCTTAAAAAAAAAACTTCATAAAATAGGAGAAGTCACCTCCAGATGAGCCGAATGTTCTTAACCATCCAAATGTGCTTTCCCTCCAAGGTCGTTATAGATTGGAAACATGTGGGCGATTGTCTTATTTTAACATGGCTACCACCCCCTTAACACTAAAAAAGGGCCATGTGCAAACACTCTGACACATGCAATAGAAATGGAAAAAGGCTGCAGTAGTGAGATTAAGGTTCTGATAAATAAACAAAGTAAGCATGTGATTTTACGGATTGTCAGTACTGGCAGGAAAATCTAAATCATCCAAAAACCAGTATGTAAACCAGTAAGAAGCAAAACACTCAATCTTTCAAAGGTTTTAAAAAATCTTGATTGGGACCAATGGACCTGAAGTTTTTCTTTAGCCAAAAAAACAAATAACTAAAGCATTATAATTACTCTAAAGCAGTGGTTCCCAACCAACAAAGTATGATGAGGCATACATCTCCCTTGATGTCATTTTGGTGTGTAGCATTGGGGAGATGACTGTCTGTCTGTCTGTCTGTCTGTCTGTCTGTCTGTCTGTCTGTCTGTCTGTCTGTCTGTCTCTCTCTCTCTCTCTCTCTCTCTCTCTCTCTCTCTCTCTCACAGAATCGCCGCAGCACTAGCACACAGAGACCTGCCAATGGAGAACAGAGCATTCAAAAGTGACAATCTACAAGGCTCAATGTGGTCAATGCTCATTTGCCATAAGTATTTTTTTGGAAATACTTAATTACCTCATAATCCACATTATACATAAAATAAATCAATGTTAATTCTGCTTCAAATTTGTTCAGTTTTTCCCTTAAAAAGTAATAAAAAATAACCTATAAAAATAATGTTAAAGTATCGGATGGATAAGCAGTATTTGTAATTGTTTCAATTAGGCCTCATTATTTCACAGTGGCACAGGATCACAAGCACTTTTGTTTTGTTGTTCAATCCATAATAAAATAAAAAATTCTAGTTGGATCTTTGTGTCTTGTTATTATTAGCATAGAAAATGTAATGTTTATACAACTATATACAATTAATTCTACCAATCTCGGTGGGAACCGGGTTGGGGGGGGCTCGAAAATATTTCCTGACGGAAAAAGGTTGGGAACCACTGCTCTAAAGCCATAATCCAAATTTGACTTTATGATATTCATGCATTTTTGTTCCTCAAGTTGAAAAATGTGTGTTTCCTCGAGACGGAAAAACTATTTGTGGACTGTGGTAATAGCGACCTCAACAGCCCCACATTTTCTCTTGCCAAAGAAAAATCTAAAATATATAACATTTGCCGACAGAATAAGATCAATTGAGGACAGAAACAAAGAGGATACATTTTACAGTATTAACGTTTGATAATTTTGCCATTTATTTTTGCTTTCAATCTAACAGTAGGTTTAGATTTGAGGATGAAAGGTTATTTATTGTGTAGTCATTGATGACATGCTTTCATCCCTGCGTTCACCATCATCACTGACAAATAGTCTTCTCTTGAGAATTCACTGCCATGCTTGCAGCTCTTTGATGCTATATTTAAGACCAGTGGATTCTTTGAGCTAAATGCTAGCGTCACTGACTATGCTAAGATGCTGAGGTTTTGCAGGACATGCCTACTATGTTCACTGCAAGTATGTGAGCATGCACTAAACACAAAGTACAGTGAAGGCTGATGGGAATGTCATTTGTTCTACCTGTACTTTTTGTTACTGAATAAAGTATTGGAAGTCAAATTGAATTTTGATCTAATGAAAGGTCAGGGTTTCAGTGAGGTCACTTAAAAAGGCCAATGACAATCTATTCAAGAAAGCGGTTGAAGGGATCAAGCATCAAGGGTTTGTTTGCATGCCAAGTAAACACATTTGAAAGAAATCCTATTTTCACTGCAGCCTTTAAAAGGGAATATAAGTGGAATAACACATTTTGATTTGAAATAATTGAACACAACTCCGGTGTTGCTGCTGTGATTCCCTTCTGATGCTTTAGGGCACATGCTCGTATCGTAGTATTCATATTGCGAGCACTATCTGTTCTGGTCCAGTGGTCTCCAGTCAGTGAAATATATTTGTTTTGCCTTTTCGCTGACGTGCTGTTCATGGTAAACATCCGCACTGGAATTACGTGAGGAAGTTGGGGTCAAACTTGGGAATGAGATGAATTTGCGACAAAACCGGAAAATGTAAATGTGGTCTCTGAAATAATAGAATGCAATGTTTTAAACCACTGCAAAGCCCTGTTTGTGCTTTAAAGTGTATCCGACTTAATGCAGTCAGGAAGAAGCAACACAATCATAAGCCAGCTCTGTGCTCATGCACAGTGTTTTAAAATACCAGGTAAAGCACCAAATATGCATCTACTAACTGATGTGTTCCTCCCCACACTCTTTGGCAGTGGGGTGTGCAGTAGGCCTATCCATGAGATGAATCTTAATAGGAAGTTTCTTTTCACTGTTCCCTTGAATAAGCATCAGTTTACTGACTGAAGCCAACGCTCTGAATACCAATGCAAATGTGAATGAGCTTATGTTAATTCCACATATTCTGAACAATAAAACACTTTTTTATACTCAGCCAGGGACAAGTCTAAGGACAATATAAGGGCAGCCCTGAATGAACACTGAATGCTGCAATATACACCCATAATGCAGACTAGAACAATCCATACACTAGATCAATACACCCGCAGACTTATGAGAAAACTCTGCCATTTGAAGATGAATGCATCACCCTGAAATTCAAGACAGGAGGGGAAAAAAAATATCTCAAAGTGAACACCGATGCCAGGGCCCTCAGCGGCATCTGAGACACCTGAGGTCGGGTCACGGAGCCGTCGAATAAGCCTTAAATAACTCAACCTGAAACAATAACCGGAGAGATGGAATAGCCAATTTTTCATCCTTGAGGTATGTGATGAACTGGACACAACCCAACCCCGTTCGAAGTCTGTGTCAGTATGTCTGGTATTCCAATAAGAAATAAAGCCAGGCACTGCCAGGGCCGAGCAGTTCCCTTCGGCCCTGTGGAGCAGAGCACATCCTTCATCTTTATACTTAATAAAAGTCCTGAAAATTCTAACTTTGTGTCAACCCCATGTGTACAGCTATTTCCAGTTTCATCATGACAACGTGTCTTCATACAGCATATCATGTGAAGAATTCGTAAAACAGAAACACAAACAATCATTGTGCCGGAAGCAAGCTTTTTTGTTAAAAAAATGAAAATAGGTCTATACCAATGTGATCTATACTTCTTCATATGAATAGCTACATTTGGATATTGACTTTACTTGCTTTGTATTTTCTTTGCTTTCTTTTTTAAATGCTCCATAAGCGTTCCATAAGTTGTACCCCGGAAGATATAAGCGTCCTGCTATCCCAGGAAGGGCCAAATGTTTGGCATGGCATAGAAATGAAAGATACAAGTTCAATTAATTAATAAAAAAACGTATAGAGATGGAAATAGGCATTCACATTCTGGGAACTGCTGTTTAATATGTTGTTATAGCTAAGTATACTTTACTTTTTTGTACCTTAACATACGTTATGCGGAGTGTCTATTTGCACCCAGGGTAAAATAGTCACATGGAAGCTATTTGGCTATTTACACCCTGCCCAGGACGACTGTGTTTAATTTAAGCTTGCACGTCACTTAATTCCGTAAAGCAACATGCCTAAACGCCAAATCATTCATACATCCATGCTAAGCATGCGCCGAGTCGTGGCCTAATTCCAAGTGCAACCAAAGATGGTTCAAAGGCAGAACATCTTGTGGTGAAATACAATGTTATTCATGTGTAGATGAACCATGTTCGGCTTTCCACTGTGTTTCATAAAGCTGACTCCTTTCTGTTGACCTATAGGCCTACACGGAAATTAGTTTAGCAATGGGATTTTACCAATGGATTTTCTAATATTGCAGAAAATAAGACCCTTGGTAAACAAATGTTGATAGCACTTAGGCGTTTTGTTCAACAGGATATTCCCTTTTTGACACCACTTTTGTGATTGTTGAAGCATAAATAAAAAGCTAAAGAAAGTCTATAATTTAACAACAAGCTTGCGGTCGCACCACTGTGCATCGCCTTCACCAATGCTAAGCTAAAGACGGACTCACGTTCAACGTGATGGCGTTTATTATAGTCTCATTCAAACATATTAGCAACCAGGGTTTTTAATGACACGTTGTTGCTTCAGACATTCAAAAGTGGGGTATTCACTGATGTACTTTGTCATAGTAGAACTAAACGTGAAAATCATTGATAAAAGGCACATTTTCTGGAGCTAGAACTCCTTCCTGCACCATTATATTACTTGATAAAATACTACCCGTCAAAAATTACTTGTAATAAACATCTAAAAACATTTAATAACTTTGCTTAGGTTGTAGCCTTTACATAGAGTAACAACACTAACAGCTTTGTTAGCTACGGGGTCACTCACATAATGGCTGTGAGGAAAGCCTAGCCGTTAAACTGAAGAGGCACGAGCTGTTGTGGCAGGGGGCGGGGCCTGTGAGGACCATGTCGGGGGGGGGAGTCCAGTGTGACTTTCTCTCCCGCCAGAGTCAGGAGGAAGGCAGGCAAGGAGGCTCTGGAGCTATGTGGTCTCCGAGCTGCCCATGGAGGACACACACAATAACGCATGACTGTTTTCAGAGAAAATTAGCTCACCGTCTCCCCTTTTTTCAACTCGTTGCAGTGAGGTTTGTGCGCTCTGAACAAGGTAAGACTTTTTGTTCTTCCTCACCCCTAATCCCACATCAGACTACTTCCCTGGCTGAGTGACTTCCTATTTCCAGAGGGGATAGTTATGAGTATTTTTAATCAGATGGAGGATGTGTTTTCTTTAATAGGCCACTGATTGGCAAAATTGCTTTATTTCCAACATCAGGTCGTGATGCTAATTCATGCAGCCTAACATTTAGACATTGCTTAATCCTTGCATTTTCTTAAGTATTCAAACAAGCAAAAAGTAATATATTATTTGAATGATATTGTTTTATATGCAAAAAAAAAAGGCTTTTTGCCTCTGCAGACTTATTAGGATAGATTATTTTGAAAATCTCCCCTCAACAGGTAGGCCATCTTTATCCAAAAACTTGGTTCATGGGATCTAAATAAACATGTTTTATTCATATTTAAAAATGATAAATGACTGAAGCTGCAGAGGCTCGCAGCACAGGAACATTTATTATCATCCTGTCAGACATATAACTGCCATGTGGGGATAAACACTAACAATACAACGTCCTCAGATGGACGGAAGCTTGAGACACTTTAACTGTCCTCTCTTTAGGGAGGTGTGCAAGAGCTCAAGGTTAATAAAACATAATGATTAATGTCATGCAGCTTTTGAATTCCCTCCCCTGGAGAGTACTGTACAGCTTTTTAGAGATTCACTTCCAATGAAAAGCCATTCATCATGGAAGTGCTACAGAACTGGCAACAGTGTTTGTGCGAACAAATGATATATGAACTCTGCAGTGGCAACACAATGCACTTTATACTAAGGAGAACTGTGTGTAGGATTTTTTATTACATTTCTTCAATGTGACCTGAAGATAGTTCTGCTAGATGAATATCAAATGCAGAAATTCAACTCATTAGTGGGGATGTGGAGAAGTATTTACGGGATTTTAGGAATACTTGCAACATGTTCTGCTTCCAGCTGTGGCGATTTGCTGCTTTTCTCCGTTTTACATTTGTCATTACATTAAATCACATGTCACTTGTTAGAGGCATTTATCCAATGCGACTTACATACTCAATACTGTGGGCAATCCCCACAGGAGAAATGTTGGGGTGAAGTGTCTTGCCCAGGGACACAACGACATGCTGACTGCAGTGGGATTCGAACTTGCTATCCTCTGATTCCAAGATCAGCGCACTAACTAGCACACTAACCCACTGAGCCACAGCCTCCCGTCATGAATCTATAGGAGGTTTTTTTAACTGATTAAACAAAATTCACAATTTGAAGAAGTATATTTGGAATCTAGGAAATGGTGATGACTATTTCTCACTTTTTTCTGGCTTTTTTTCCTCCTATTTGCAAAAACAACACAGTAGTGGTTTACAACACTAATAAAAAGTGACATAAAACCTAAAAAAACAAGGACGGAATAAACATAACGATTCTTGTGATGAAATATAGGAATGACTGTGATTGAATGTATAATTGCCCAATGATTAAGGAAGAATCTGTTAAATATGACATGCACATTTATCTTTATATTTGATTTAAAACCTTTTAATTACTTCCATAGTATTATCGTCCATTTACTTTTATCTCTGGCATTAGCCAACCCATAAATCATTACATAAACCAATACAGTTTTCATGTAACGGATACATGAATCAATAATGAGAATAATTGTAATTTCCAGGCCCGAAGACAGTAATAAATGAGATATGTCGGAGGAAGCACTGCAGCCTTTATTCTGTCTTTCTACAGCCTTGATGATGTGATTATTAAATATAATGAAGGTATAGGCCTTTGTGCAACACAATGCAGAGAACATTCAGCATTATGGCAGACACACATGCTGCAAGGAGAACAGGAGCTTCAAAATCTGCTGCATAGACGAACTGTCAGGAAGCTTTATGCCCATTATTGTGCACATTGCCCTTGTGATGGTAACACTGTCCTCTCTCTGTGAACTGCTGTTCTGATTAAATATGCCCACGCTTATGCTACATTAAGCTTTATATTATGCCCGCTAATATTCTGTCCCGTAAAACAAAACCTAATTGGGATTCCAATATAACATTTAGTCTTGTTTAAATTGTTTAATGGCCACTCTGAGGCTGAGGAGGCTCTAGCACTAAAGTTTCTTCAAGGGCAGAGCAACCATCTTTCCACTTATCACACTAATGCAATTCAATGAGCGGTGCACCTTTGGATTCCAGATGTAAATTGGAGTATAATGAAGTCCACTGAAAGCTTTTGATCAAATATTATGCGCAGGGAATGAGAGATGTATGCAGTCTGACGGTAAGGAAATGCACTTAGTGATGTCAAAAGTGATGGTTTTTCTATAAAAAGCTCTCCGTTCTTTTTTCAAATTGAGTAAAAATGTATTTTCTCAGAAAGCAAAGTAAACTTGCTTTGTTCCATAAAAAAAATCCAAAACCCAAAGATATTGAAGACACAATTGTAAATAAAGTGAAAAGCAGCACATCGTCAGATTTTTGGCAGAAGGTATGAGCAAATAAAATATACTGTATGTTATGGTTGATTAATGACTTGAATCCATCAACCATGAATGCTCTTAAGAGACTTATTGATCTGACACATTGAGTCTTTGATCCTCTCCCAAAGGACACAGATTAACACGTAAATGGGATTTAAGATTTTTTCTTTTTTCTAATAGATTAACTCTACATGTGTAGGTCTGTGTCGTGACACACAGAAGCTATTACGTGAACCTTTTTTATCTGCAGCTACATAGAGTATGTGGATAAATGCACAGGCGTATTTTCTGTGTCAGCCACTTTCCTTTTGTGAAAAACACAAATGGCTCTGCATTTTCTCTGATAGGAAGGAAGGAAATGATACGTAAAGAAGCCAGACAACTGATGAAAGGCGGCTGTGAAGGCAGTCAATAATGCCGCAGAATGCAAAGATCATTTAACACACCCCACACCACTTCATCATTCTGTCACAGCGCTGCCATCACCCTGCTACTCCAATACTAATACTATTACTTGCAGGACTAAAACAGGAAGCGCAGATACATAGAGTTTTTACTTTTTAAAAAGATTAAAGGGATATTTTTCCAACAAAATGACAATTTACTTGTTATTGACTTGTCCTGTGTTGCCTTCAATTTCTTCAAGAAAACAAAAAAAAACCTAACATGTTAAACCAGTTGTTTAACATGGCCCCTATTTGCTTCAATGCATCTAAATGGTTCTAAATCTTTCAAAATTGGACCATTACCAGAAAGAAAAAAAAAGTTTCATTCAAGGTGACACAGGGTGAGTAATTGATAAAACAATGATTGGTTTGGCGGTATTCCTTAAAGCTAAACTAAGATCAATTCAATGCAGGAGCCAACACAGCACATGAAACTACAGTAAAACATAATAGCCGCGTTCACACCGCATTACTTTTCCCACTTTAGTTACGATATAGTTCCGAAATGTTGCGTTCACACCAAAAAGAGCCGGAACTAAAATTAGTTCATTAGAACCTTTTTTACCCCTTTTTCCGACTTTCATGGGAGAAAAAGGTTCCTATGTCTGATTGGCTGGGCGGAATGCAAACCACGCCCCGTAAAACTAAAAAAAAACTGTGTGAAGCCGCCATTTTATTATCCTCGCATTAGCATTAGCCCAGCACACAAACGCAGAGAGACTAACTTATGGTAACACAAAAGAAAACATGGGAGCGGTGGAGATGAGGAGGTGTCGGCGTTCTGGTTGTCACTACCCGATCCGTCCCCCTGCCCGATCGGTACTGCGCATGTGCGAGATGGTCCGCCATGTTGGACAACTCCGGACGGCAACCCAAGATGGACACTTGACACAGTGAATTTTAGCAAAGCTCAAAAATAAAACAAGAGAGAGATGAGTTATTGTTATTACAACGTGACTTCACTATTATTTAACAACTATTTGTATTGGGTTCTTTTATTTGAGGTGAAGTACATTGTCAGAATAAGTGAGAAATGAATTTAACTTCTGTTAGACAGCCATATACCATACATTTTTGCATACATTCACAGTAAATAATTATTCAGTATGACAGCTGTCTAACAGAAGTTAAATTCATTTTCTTTTTGTGCTTTGCCA